AAGATCATTAATTTCAGCCTATTTAATTCTGACCAGAAGGATTAAATGATATAGCAGGTCTCATCGTCCAAAGGACCGGAATTTCTTCCCGGCCGGTAATCTGATAAGTACTTGCTACAGCGGCCCCAGTAGATTATACACCTGAACCGAGCTGGGGACGAACGTTTTGACTGGTGGCTTCTGAGGTCCATCGTGCACTGTTTGTGGTTCCTAAATTTTCAATCTTTATATCACCTTAGAAGAGCATTCCACATGCATATTGATCAATTTTAGCCTCGGTTGATCAGAAACCTAAGCTATAAAACTGAGTTATATTTCGGCCTCTGGCTCAGACTCTGGCCCGTGGTTTCAAATTTGAAGCATGAGAGTAATATTGTCAGTTGAAGGTGATACAGATGTCTCACCTCACCTCTCAAGTCTGAACTCAAGGAACAATTAACGATATGCGAGTCTAAGGAGTCTGTTACCTTCCTCGTGTGAGATGATGCTGGAAGGCGTAACAACCCGAGTAGTTCGGCATTGCGCTTACTCGTGTCGAGTTTTCCTCGATACATTAAACACTGAAGTAACTAACAATATTGGACAAACTGGTTATATACATCATTGTCATTGATGACCTTCATGCAAGGTTCAAAAAATCGATACATAKCGATTTGTATCGGCCGATAATATGTATCATATTGGGAGTACCCTGATATGGGGTTCTGACTAGTTCAGGGGTGGAGGAATCTTAAACCGGCCCTCCTAAACCGTTTTTGAAAAAAATAAAAACTAGTAAAAAAAGTATCGATACTGCCCGATACACCCCTACCATGGATCTATTTCATTACTTTGAGGGTCGTCTAGATAAGAACTGAAGAAAAAATAATGAAAAAGAAGAAGAAAAAATAATGAAAAAGAAAAAGAAAAAAAATGGTCTAAATAACAACTTGAATCAAATGAAAAAAGGGCAAAATTGAAGAATTTTCTACTAGAGCTCTCTTTGATTAAATCAAATGCATTTGACCCTTTTTTGGATAATTATGGCCCATATATGCCTCATGCTAAAATTTAATTAATTATAACTAGGTGACGAAGATGAACACTAGATCACTTAATCAAATAGGTTTTGATACTATGTTAAAGAACCATTCAACCTAAAAGCTTAAATTATTAGATGAGGGCTTTTGGATAGTTTTTGTTCTCTAACACGTCACTTCACGCAAAACCCATCGGATTTGAAGTGCGAGCAGAAACAGGCCCACCTATACTTTGTACTGAAATTTAACTAACTATAATGGGGGCAATGAGTATCGAATACTAGACCACTTGGATTCTCTAAGTGAAGTCCTTGAGTAGGTTTATATTCTCTAACAAGAACCTTTTATGTGTAAGTGTAATATTTGATTAATCATGATCATGTGACTTGTGGATTTACTGCTGTCAACTTTATTACTATGAAATATTATGTGTCAAATAACTTTATTACTATGAAATACTAAATAAAATCAGCTTGGATCAGTCCACGGAAATACTTTAGAGGGAAAAATATCTCTAAAGGCATGTCACTGTTAATGCCATTTTCAGTATGTGCTTCTCTTTCTCTCTCTCAAACAAGAATGAGAATGAAAGTTAAAATCAGCAGGAATGGGATTTCATTCCCAAGAGAGGGGTAAGGAATGATCATTCCCTCAAATGGGGGAATGCTATTCCAGCAGGAATGGGAATGGGATTCCGATTCTACCCAACCAAATGGTTGGAATCAGAATAGCCCCGATTCCAAACCCCTATTCATGTGAACCAAATGGGCCTAAACTTTTTTTCTCGAAATACCATTTAGCATGCTCACATTTAGAGAAAATTTTGGCTTAGAGTGCTGAGCTAAAATTTGAAAAAATACAAAATAATCGAAAACTATATAAAAATGGGATAAACAAATGCATATGTACATTTTGTAGAAATGCTCTATCCTTATGAAGGCCTTCTTTTAATATATGGAAAGTTGACTATTTAGTGTGATGCATTGAAAGTTCAAGCAGGTATTAGTCGGAGATTTGTCTCTTTTCTCTTTTATGGATGAGGATGAAACAACCTTTGACGACGTTCTCTCCCATTTTTAGCACATTCATTTATTGCTATGGAATAGTTAGAATAAAGAATTTCATCTTTTACATTAAATTACTAATAATAAAATTTCTAGGTATTTTTTCCAAAAATTTAAACAAATAACACCAATTAAATGGTCAATTCACAAGATCATAGTAACAAGATGGCCAATTAATCAAAACCATTTCTAATCAGATATATGGCTTCACTAATGTCCTTTTGTTTTTCCATGGGTACACCTCAATATAATATATGTTTCATGGTGAAACCTTATCTGATTTGACCTGGAATACTTGTTTTATTTACATAACTCTCTATACATATTGATCCCCAGATTCCATTTTGCTCTCTAATTGATTGGGATATTTTCAACCAATTAATTAACATGCTTTATTTTCATTTTTTTTAATAAATTAGTGACTTACTGAGTATAGTCATGCATATATACCAACATAGATGAAACATGGATAAACTCATAAGCTAATTAATGGGCTAAAAAAGATCTTAAACATTTTCAGTTTAACACCACATGTTGCTAGGTTCTGTGGTATTGGAGCCTGCAAGAGTACTTAATGAATGTTGTGGCATGAAAATCTTAATTAAGTAGGTGTTTTAATATATTAAGAAATTAATATAAACAACACAAGGAACTAAGAAAACCAGCGAGAGCGTCAGTCTTAATAAATGAACTAAATTCCCTCTAATAACAATTAACAACATTTGATTGGTTATACAGATAGAAGTAAACAGAAGGTTGTTTCTAGTTGAATAAATGTGACATATAATGAATTTAATTTCCTAGAAAACGCAAACCCACAAGATCTAATCTTGATAATTTCCTCCTAATTATAGTCCTAAAACTAAGGATGCAACTAAACGCCCATCTTGATAATTGTCTATGCTTTGGAATGACTATTAAAAAATGAAGTAAAAATTCAGAAAAAAGAATCCTGTACGCAGTTTCTTATTTATAGCTCTATTGGCACTTTTCCCCTATAAAATCAATGTGTTGCCTGCAGTTGTGGCATCTTTTGTTCTATCTATTTCTTGTTCATTGGTGAAACTCATCCCTTAGGTTAGGTATTATCTGATTGTTGTCTGAGAATGGAAAGTGAAATAGCTCAAGCAGCTCAATCAAGCAATACCAAAACCTTTCCTGCTGAGCTCCGTGTTTTGATTGTAGACGATGATGCTATATGCCTTAAGGTTGTTGAAGCAATCCTTCGGATATTGAAATACCAAGGTACGTACTTTGATCTGGAATTTCATGCTTGCTTCGTTAAATCTATCTGAGCTTGTTAAATTGTTCATTCAAATGCTCTTCATGTATAATATTTTTTATTACCATGTTTAGGTGTCTTTGCTCTGGGCAGTAAAAATAGTCATCCCCAACTAGAATTGCAGATATTATATATGCCTATTCTTATTATGGAAGAAATGAACTCTTCTTTTCTTCCTCTCTTTGTTTTTTCTTCTATTTTATTCTTTGTTCTGAATATATATATATATATATATATATATATATATATGTTTTCTTCTTTCATTTCCCTTTTTCTTTTCTGACTAGGATTCTG